GTTGGGTTTCATGGGAGGGTGGCGTATACGTGTGCTGCGCGCCGAGCCACGTTGGTAGTTCGAGTAAGTGATTGCGGTATGGCGTTGCAGCAACTCGGTACTGTTCCCGTGCAAGACATTCTGGGTGCTATTTAGGCACGATAATCGGTGGAAAGGATTGGCTTGCTGCACATCTAGCAAGCATTACTTAGCCCTGCTTTGTTTGCTGGCAACTTGGGAAGGGAGGAAGGGACAGAGGAGAAAAGGAGGATGAGTATGGGAGGGAAGGAGGAGAAAGGAGGAGTATGGGAGTGTGGGAGGGAGGGAGGGAGGATAGACAGGGAGAGATGAGACGGAGAGAAGGAGAGGGAGGAGAAAGAGAGGATGGGAGGGAGGGAGAGAGGGAGGGAGAGGAGAGGGAGAGAAGGAGAGGGAGGGAGGAGACAGAGACGGAGTCTGGGAGTATGGGAGTGAAGGAGGGAGGGAGAGAGGAGGCAGCGCTTTCTTAGAGACAGAGACGGAGTCTGGGAGTCTGGGAGTCTGGGAGTGAAGGAGGGAGGGAGGGAGGAGAAAGAGGAAGGGAAAGGAGAAAGAGAATCAGGGACGGAGATCTGGGTTCCAAATTCTCGTTTGCAGATGCGACCATGAAATCGAACGTTTGGAGGCCATCAAGGCTCTGACTCTCAAATTCGCTTGGTGGGGGGGGTGGGAGGGGGGGAGGGGGAGGGGGGGAGGCGGCGAGGGAGGGAACATGATGGATTTCAAACACGTGCTCCGTGCTGGTGCACTTGTCAAGTCACTAAGCTACCTGACGAACGCAACGCTCCCGATGCGGTCATCATGAAGGTGTGATCTGTTCAGGGGTTAACGGGGGTTAACGGGGGTTAACGGGTATAGGTCGTTTTATCGAGTAGTGTACTTCCGCGGGCGTTCTCTCTCTTTCTTTCCACCTGTTCTCTCTCCTCTGTTTTCCGTCTACCTATCTCGTTTCTTTTTCTTCTCCCACCTCTGTCGTTTGTTTCTGTTCTCCCTTCACTCGATCTCCTGCGGACCTGAAAGGACGACAAACACACGCACACACACACATATACGAACACTGCGCACACATGCACATGCACACGCTCACGTAAAGGAACAGATGCATGCATGCATGCATGCGCGCACACAGATGCACAGATTCACGCATGAACACACGCACACACACACACACATATACGAACAGATGCTCGCATGCATGCATGTGCACACACAGACGCACAGATTCACGCATGAACACACGCACACGTGCAAACGCACGCGCACACACACATGCACACGCGCACATACACATGCACACGGGCACACACGCACACACGCACACACACACACACGCACACGCACCCATGAGACCATATAATAACACGTGTAAAGAAGGGATTGGCGCTCACAATTGCATGTGTGTACAAGTGAAACAAGGTAAATATAAAAAAAAAAACCCTAAACAGACGTAAAAACTGAAAAAAAAAAAATGTAAGCAAGCGATTCAGGTGCTCATACGCACCCACAGATAGAGACGCAGACTGTGAGGAGGATTTGATTAATTCCTCCCCCTTCCCCCCCTCTCCTCCTAACGGTGTATTCATTCTTTATTTGATTATTTGAAGGACTCTGGAGGTAGTAGTAGTAGTAGGAGGAGGAAGTGGAGAAGGAAGAGGAGGAGGAAGAGGAGGAGGAAGAGGAGGAGGAGGAAGAGGAGGAGGAGGAAGAGGAGGAGGAAGCGGAGGTTATCTGCAAGCTGCACATGCCCATGCACGTGCAGACATGAAACCATGGTAGATTTTATAGAGTACGAATGAAGAATAATGATAACCTGAGTTGCCGACGGAGGAGGAGGAGGAGGAGGAGGAGGAGGAGGTCATGTGCAAGGTGCTCACATCTCTATAGCGTACAGGATGGGGGTCAGGTGAAGCAGTCTATGTTGGCCACGCGAGCGAGCAGCATGCCAGGTGCGTTTCAAGGAATGGGGCAGGGATGCATCTGGTCAGGTGCACGGTGTGCCTATCGTCTTTCCCCGAACACAACGCACGCTCATTAAGAGTGTATGTGACCGGAAAAATGTCTCCAGAATACGCTAAGTTCTTGTTCATGAAGAAGGGTCTCTGGTAGGTGGAGCGGGGCGTGTCCCTGAAGCGGTAGAAGAATTGTGTGCGCGTAATCCATTCTCTCCTCCCATTGAAGCCAGACGGATGCTTAATCCCTACAGGCTGCAGAGAACTCCTGTCAATGGAGGGAGCTTCTCTTCACAGCAGGCGGATGTGTCTTTGCCGGGCAGTATAGGCGGCATCTGTGCTGAGCTGGGAGCTGTATTTTGGCGGGACATTGGTTGGCGGGAACTGTGCTGTGCTGGTGGGAACCATATTGGCGGGAAATGCGCTGGCGGGAGCTTCTCTTCACGGCAGGGGGATGTCTTTGCCGGCAGTATAGGCGGGATCTGTGCTGTGCTGGCGGGGGCTGCATTTTGGCGGGACATGCGCTGGCGGGAACTGTGCTGTGCAGTGCTGGTGGGAACCATATTGGCGGGAAATGCGCTGGCAGGAGCTTCTCTTCAAGGCAGACGGGGCCGAGGTCCCACTAGCAAAAGGGGATTGGATTGGACGCCTGAATGTGGACGCGTTTGTGCAAGGGTGCAGAATATCGAGCTTGGAACTGCTTTTCTGCATCTCTGCTCGAAAAACGTCCAGATCCACGAGAGCTTAATCCAATCCTCTTTGCTAGTGGGACCTCGGCCCGGATGTGTCTTTGCCGGGCAGTATAGGCGGGATCTGCGCTTCGCTGGGGGGAACTGTGCTGTGCTGGTGGGAACTGTATGTTGGCGGGAACTGTGCTGTGCTGGCGGGAACCACATTGGCGGGAAATCGGCTGCCGGAAGCTTCTCTTCCAGGCGGGCAGTATATGCGGGATCTCTGCTATGCTGGCGGGACATTGGTTGGCGGGAACTGTGCTGTGCTGGTGGGAGCCATATTGGCGGGAAATGCGCTGGCGGGAAGATTCGTTACTTATTGAAGAGGCTGGCTGTGGGAGCCTATTGGTGGTTTAGGGGTTGGCCTGACAAGCCATAGGTTTTGTGTTCGATTCTTGGCTGGACATGCACTGACATATGGGTGGTGGTGGGAGTGACAAAGGGAGCGCGGGGGGGCTGAGAGGGAGAGGGGGAGTAGGAGTTTTTACGTTCTAAAGCCCCTTTATATGTACTGGATTTGGCTAAGGTCTTCACCCGAATGAACGCAGGGTCATTATGGGCGTGTATTTGGGGCGACTTTCCGTCTAGATGCAGCGATAATGACCGTGCGTTCTATTGGAACCGGTCCACCATAGGTTGACCCATCCCAGTCCTCTCGTACTAGGGATGGCTTCTCTCAGTTCTCTTCAAATCACCAACGGTAGATAGGATGGCGAGCGCTTGGCTTTTCGATCCCAATCCAGAAGCGGAGTGAGCTCACCGTCTGCTTGTGGGATGCTTTCATCTCCCTTGTTCCCCCGAATCTCGCTGCATCTGGACTTAAAGGTTGACCAAATACGGCTATAATGACCGCCCGGTCTGGATCTGAAAGGTGAGCCAAATACGGCGGCTACCAGCCAGGCCGCCCGGGTCCCGGTTAGCCAGCCCGTGCAAGGACCACGGAAGGTCCCAGCAAAAAAAAATAAAAAATCCAAAAAAAAAACTATGTTATGCAGAATAATAAACTGAACAACTTTTGCCCCAGGGTCACATCGAAATTCTTCACCAAATTTAGAATAAAAAATAAAATTTACAAATAAGTTTTTTATTTTTATTTTTTTGGCCCGGCGGTGTGGGATGGTTCCATTGGGTTCGAAAGTCCGTATGAGGGCATACTCACAACTAGCACTTTCCTGAATGTATCTGACTGCAATGACGGCCAGAAGTGGATGAATCTGACCGCAATCACGTCCAGAGATGAGTAAAAGGTTCCCAGTGTGAGTATGGTGCCCTGAGTGTGGAGGCAATGTTCCATCTACGCATGTTTTGGCCACGTGTCATATGTTTGCTGCTCCCGTTACTAGACAATTTTTTTTTTTTTTTTTTTTTCTGAGCAGTTTGGAACCGTATCTCGTCTTTCTCAAATCTTTGCTTGGTTGTGTTTCAATTTTTACTTTCCCCTCCTCCCTCTCTGTGTGTGTCGTCTGCTTGGTGCAGGCGCCGAGGGCTGAAGACCGTGCACAGGTGCAGGCCAAAGAAGTGAGATTAAGAAATGCGAGGCCTATGCTTCTGGACGAACAGGACGTTCAAATTGTGAGCCTCTTGTCCCTCTTACACAACCTACCTTTTTTGTTTGTCTTTTTTGGGGAAGGGGGGGGAAG